GGCTATTGGGGCAAGTGGAAGTTACTTTTATTCTTACTGCTACCAAACGTTCCTTGCAGCGCGCGAAAAGATTGATATTGTCCTGATAGAAGTCTCTGTCAATGACGACAACAAGATTATGCCACTGGAGCAATTAACTCGACAAGTCCTGACGCATCCGTCGATGCCAGTGGTACTGTTTATTAACCTCGTACGTTATAAGCGTAGCCGCAATGACAGTCTATGTGAAAATCTCGAATGTTTTGGTCAAACTAAGCTCGCACGCTATTACAATATTACTTCACTGAGTTTAAGAGAATTGCTTTGCCATAAAGAAAAGGGAGAATGGAGAGCTGTGATTAAGAACACGACTGGCACAGATGGCAAACATATGAACATTAAGGCGCACGCGCTTGTGGCGACGATGATGATTAAGTATGTAAGAATTGTTTTCAAGGAAGTAATAAGCGATATTAACAAAGGCATTGATCAAGTGCTGGAAACCAAAGACACCAAGTTACCGAAAATTCTGTTTATTAAAAGCGAATCAGAAGTTTTGAGACAACCACTCTGTTGGACAGGAAAAACGCCAGATGCGTCTAAACCGATTCACCACCCAAGTCTAAAATTTAAAATTGTAGATAACGTAGGCTTTTCAATGTGTTTAAAACTAAAAAGCGAGAACAAACCGCTTCGTCCAGATGCAATTGGCGGTTGGTGTGGGGAGAAAAGGTTTAGTTACCTTAAACTAAGTGTCTTCGTTCCAGATCTGGAAGTTAAAAATCTTCCGATCCGTTCGCGGTCCGTGACAGTTATGGTCATGAACAAACGATGTAATGCTACCATTTGGCTGGATAATGATAATAATACAGCTGTTTACTTTTCTGAAACCTACGGATTTGATCAGTTTGATACCGTTTCGACAAGAGTAAAGCCAGGATATCATAATCTCACGGTTAGGAATATGTGTGAGGGGATGTTTATGGTCAGTGGAATTTTCGTTGGACCTCCTGATTTCCACTTGAGATTCCCATAGATATTTATGGGGTATGAAGGAGATAGTACGCGCCCAGTACGCGCCGGACAACAGACGTTATATTACTTATTATATACATACTGAGAAATACTCACCAAAAAGCTATGTCGTAAATTTTCGAACGCAAATTAGTTCTAGTCAATCAGAGGAGCGAACGATGGTTTTCACACGTGAAAAAAATGATACGTCCAATCAGAATCGCGAACAATGTTTTTTCACGTGTGAGAAAAATGATACGTCCAATCAGAAGCCACAGAGGTGTGTGAGTTTCGCGCCAAAATTCCCGACTTTTATTGCAGCTTGCAGCGCCGCTTCGCACACGTTCAACGAGAACGTTTTACTCAAAGAGTTTTTCTCGCTAAAAAAGTGAGAAACATCTCGGAAATGGAGTGGAATAGTTTCGTTTGTTTCACTGTCGATAAAGGAAACGGTAGAGAGCCGGCGAAACAACAGTGGAAAGGGAAAAACAGAACGAGATGTAAACTTTCGTTGTGCTTTTTGTCGGAGCTACTTTGCCTTTCATTTAAGCTTAAGCTTATATTGAAACCGGCCATTTTACTTAAACTCACGCATTTTCAATTGGGCATTGAGAACAAACAGTTAAGATTACTTACAGTTCTTGGATTACCTCATATCCTTACCGTCATTTATGTTTTTAACAAACGTTTTTACTAAAAAGCTGATACTTCGTTTTCGTTGTCATTTTGCGGTAAGTGTGTAGTGGCAAATTTAAGCATTTTTGAAAGATTTAAAATAAAAAGGCTGCCAAAATGATGAATGTCTCAGTATGTATATAATAAACACAATACCACATGGAAAGTGCTTTGTACGGTATTTACGTACTCGTTGTTTTTGTATCAGAAATCTTATCCGTTCGCTGCGCTCACTCGTTCGATTTCTGATACGTCAACAACTCGTGTGTAAATACCGTACGCAAGCACTTTCCATGAAGTATTTTCTATATATATAGTAGTGTCTACTTGAAACTAGAGGTACCTTTCGGCATGTGCCAATAAACCTCTTTAGCTTGTATGTTTTGTTTTGCCAATGGAGGTCCCAGGGGAACTTGATCCTTTGTCTTTTCATAAATCATGCATAGATAGTCACGTGAATACGACGAAGTAGACCTGTATTGGGAACTTCAAATTGACTTGTACCCACTCTTCTCGCCGTTCCGCCGCCAAAACACCATTCCCACGCTAATCCCGCCAGCTACGCAAGCTAGCTAAAGAGGTTTATTGATTCTTCCCGAATTGTTACATAATTTTAGAGGTTTAAATGATTTCGCTATAGAAAAGGATGGCAAATAAATTTCACGCAAGTTTGAAACAACAGTCTCCGCACATTCTAGGTTTCCCTTTTATCAAACAATAACAACCTGGCCTGAAGCGTTGTTGGAAACTTGGGGCAAGTTAGCTCTAATGTTTCATGAAAAATTCCATTGTATCAAAACTATAAAAGTTAGAAAGGAAAATGTATTTCGAGTGAGGCCCTTAACTGCTTTGTTCTAAAATAAAAATTAGATTCCGAGCTTTCGCTGATCAACTGCATCATTAGGTATATGTAAAATATTCAGCGTATTAAGTGTTGTTATACATATGAAAGAACGCTGTAAATCAAAATGTGTGAAAAAAGCGCTAGTATGTATGAGAGGTATAAAAATATAAACTTGAATAAATACAACGGTCTAATGAGCGAGTGTAACAGAACAAAGAGTCTCTCGTAAGGCATAATGATAGGTCTGAAAATTCGTTGCACTCCTAGCGGGAGTTTAGGGCTGTCTCAATGTAAATCGAGCTGCCACGAACAAGCTGGTTCTGACTGATACCCTTTTAACGTTATACGTAACATGTGGCACTTTGTTGGACCCAATACACTTCCTTGTGGTACGCCAGATGTGAGCGGAGACCAGCTGGAGTACGAACCATCAACGATTACACGCTGCCGGCGATCAGTCATGATTAAGAAAGTCTTTAATCCAAAGCTTTAAGTTACCCCGGATACCACAATAATCAACTTTGCTGATTAACCGCTGGTGTGGCACGACTAATCGAACGTCTTTGCAAAGTTTAGGAAGACGACGTCAACTTGGCCTCGCTCTTTTAGTACATTTAACCACTCGTGAACTATAAAGAAATCAGCTGTGTCTCACAGGAGACACCTCTTCGGAACCCATGTTGAAACATGGATATGGTTGAGTTTGAACTGAGAAAAGGAACAGACTTGATCCTGATTACATTTGATAAGCTCGAGGAGTTCACAGAAAGTGACGTTAAAGAAATATCGGTCTGTAATTCTCAGGGTTATATCTTAAACCTTTTTTGTAGATGCACGACTGAGACGTTCGCGTTCTTCCAAGCCGATGGCAGCTTGCCAGAATCGAGCGACTGTTGAAAAATTTCGGTCAGAATGTAAGCTAACTCACATGCAGCCTCATTAAGAACTCTTGCAGAGATGAGATCAGGTCCACATGCTTTGGTTACAGCGATATTCTCTTGCTGTTTCTTGACACCTTGCAGAGAAATGTGAATATTAGGCATACTATCGCAAGGAGAGATTCTAGGAGAGGGTATGGATGATAAATCCTCATCTGTGAACGCAGTGTCAAATTGCTCACGAAGAGCCTCCTTCTTAGAAGAATCAAGTGTATGAATTCTATTGTTCTGCGGTAATGGGGGGTGGGGGGACACCAATCGCCTCGGACCCAAGAGACTTCAGGTAGGACCAGGCCTTCTAAGTTGAAAATGAACTTGAGTTGAAAATGATCTGGTGTAATCCCACCTAGGATCATGATATCATTCACGTAAGTATCATGTGAGTACTTAATTTGCTTCTGGATCTGGTTGCGCAAGTGTTTTTTTATAGGCTGACCAGTGATGCTGGTTCCTTGTGTGCTTTGCCCTCTTGGAGTAGCGATCTCTCTTCTTATTCTTAGGTTTAATTAATAGCATCGCTAATCCATGCCAGATGGCGCCTGCCTTTAGTAATTATGGGGAATATGCTTGTCACTTAAGGATTGTAGCACACCAGAGACAACGGACCAGCTTTTTTCCCAAAACTGTTGTTTCTTAAAGTTGATGACATGAATGTTGATGCAAATTACGCTATGTCGGATCGTAGGTTGTCGTATTTATTCTAAATTGTGAAATCTGTAAACTCTCACATTTCGTGTTGTTCAATTCTAATGCGAGTGTAGCTGAGGTTGGGATTTTTGAGTAATGGAAGGACTACAGGAGTCTGGAGGTCTGATTCTTGATATTGGTGTGTCCCAATGCGCCTGTAGTGTAAAAGACACCATAGTGGTTGGGGTAGGAGCGGTTTCCTCCCATAAATTAGGGAACTTACGACCCGACAACGGCGACGTCAATGAAAACATAGTTGAAAAATAGACTTCGCATCCTTTAACTTTTTCGCCATTATGCCAAGTCGCCCAAATACTGAAAAGAAGGGAATTTATGTTGGAGCTGACGGAAGAGAGTGGAACGCCCCCGAATTCGGACAAAGATGCTAGAATTTATCGCCTTGACATGCGTTGCTGTCTCGGCAGTACTCTTTTGTATTTCTGAAAACATCTCGACATCGTCCGCCATATTGAATTCAAGAACCCTTTCCCCCAAATTAAGTCACGTGAACGAAAATTTGACCTGCGATTTATAGCTCGTGGTTTGTTTTGGTCGAGGTTATCAAATTTGATAACGATCCCGGACTGGGGATGGCAAAGAAATCTGCAAAAAAGCGTGATGCACGTGCAAAGTTGTTGTTTTGCTCATTAAACATATTGCTTTCTCGACGTTCCCGTTGCCGTCGCCGTCGTAGTTTCGTAAGGTCCCTATTAATTAGTTCCCCGTGACGGGACAATAAGTATGCAGTGGGCGGAATATTACACTGTTTAATGACGTCCAAGGAACGAGCACAGAAATTCGAAAACTGATAACGTGTCACTTTGCCCAAGACGCAGTGCTTCTGATTGGTTTAAGCCATCCAATCAGTTCCACTGTTTGTGGTAAACAAATTCGGGGCTCATTAAACATTCTTGTGCGCAAACGTTTAAGGTTTGTACAATATATTTCATTGAATGATCCGGTTCTGTTTTCGCAATAATTTCAGGGGTGTCTTCTCCCCAATTCTGTAGTCTAGCTCCCCAATAATGATTTAAACGAAGTAGATCTTCCGGAAAATTCTTGGATGTTCCCATTGCAAGATGGTTGTGGTGTATTGCGGCCTGTCTCACATGAGCGGGTTTGTATACCGGCTTAACAAGAGCGTTTGCGGGTCCATGTGTTCTCCGCCATATTCTATCGATAAGTAGAGGGTGTTTACTATCATCCAGTGGTTTTCCTAGAAATAAAAAATTTTGCATGGTTAATTCTGATGCTTGGGGCACCTTTTCACTGAACTGCTTTACAGCTCTTTGCACGAACATAGGTTGTTGATCCGTGGGGCTGAAAGGGTACTCGTCGATATCAATCGCTGATTGCCACACAGTTTCATGCCCAAATCGCTCGATACAGTCCTGATAAGCGGCGGTCTGTGTGCCGTCGATAGAATATGGATATGCTCTGTGACTCCACTCAACATAAGTCACAAATCCTTCGTCAATAAGCGATTTCAAAGCTAGAGCTTGTGATTCATTCTTAAGGACGTAAGCATCATAAATATAAACGTGTTCAAATCCAGAATACCGAAGATAATAAAGCCATTGTCTCATTTCCCGAGTGGTTAACTTCGCGAGGTCTTTATAGTAAATTCGCACAAGAAGCACGGCTGTTAAAAAGAAAGGCTTCGATGAGTTTTCTTTTAAGTGGCACCAGCTTTGACAATTAATTTTCTTCGTTGGTATGGTGGCATTTTTCTTTCTCCCATCTGTTGTTTCCGCAGTATGTAGAGTCGCGGTATTAATTTTCCTTGTATCCGCAGAGAGCGACGAGTTTGATTGAAGCTTCAGTGTAACAACGGAGAAGTTTATCTTTGGTTGGCCAGATGAATAGTTAATTTCATAGATGAATTTCTTGTCAACAACATGTCTCATGCGGAGAGCAAACTTATGCATAAGAAGCACAACAAAAAACGCGTAACACAACACTAACAACCATAAAAGATTCCTTGTTGAGATCCTTCGACGTCCACAAGACCTTGATAGAAAGGTCGTACAATTTAGCTGTCGCCTTTTCATGGCCAGTGTCGAAAAGTTAAAAGCCAGACAGTGTTGCCATGCAGGAACTATCAGGAAGCTGACAAGGTGGCCGATATAAAAAGAAAGCGTCTACATTGTTATTAATGGAAACATTGAAAACAATGAACGAAACTCAGTTATGTAACAATAGAGGAAGTTAAGCCAAAAGTAAAAACAAAAACAAAAACGGAAAATAGAGAAGTTAGAGCAAAAAGTGAAATGAAACTTAACAACTCGCAAATGAACATTGAAAATCTAAAACTAAAATCTCAACCGAAAGGGACAATGGCCGAAAGGAAATCCGCAAAGTTAATAGAGCATAAAACCACAGTGACGAAAGTCACCCAAACATGTACAGAAAACGACGCAGTGGCACTTCTTCCAGCTTTTTAAATTTAAATATTGTACGTAAAGATGAAAATCATTACCACTCGGCACAACTATTGATACACATGTATATTAGAAATTATTTTGCCTTAGTTTACACTTATTGTTGTCTTTTGTCTGTGCTTTCCGCGCAATGTTGTCAGAAATTCATCTAATTTATCATATTTCCTAATCGTTCAAACTTATAAACACAAAAAAGCAGTGCGGGAATATGATTGAGATTTAATTTAAGGTCACAATTGTCTCCTCACAGCAACCGCTCTTATGAAACCTCCTCTAGGAAAATTAGGGCCTTGAGATCCGACGATGGCAGCAGCAATGAATGACGTCCAAATAAAAAAACAATCACAGGTCTTGGCCCGGTTCACACGGATCGGGACATTTTTGAAACAGATGCTGTTTCGGTGAGCGGTTTCACTGGTTTCGTGCAAAGGCCGATTCGTTTCGAAAATATGTAGTTTCAAAAATATCCGGACTCGAGTGGTCGTGACCTAATAACCAAAACAACAACTCTGCACGTGCATCATGCTTTTTTGTACATTATTTTTGTCGTCACTGTACGACTACGACGTGCTCACGTTTTAAGGAGGACGTAAAAGTGCAGAAAGTGATGTTACACGTAGAAGGGACAACAATTTGCAACGACGATTTTCAGTGGGACACAGCATTACAACATTGTTGCAACCCTGTCTTAAATAGTTGCAACATTGATCCAACATTGCAACGCTGTACTTTCGTTGCGCAATCGTCGTTGAGAATAGTCTCGTGGAACATCACCTTAAAAAAAAAAACGACGAAATTTTCTTCCTTTTTTGTCCTGAATATTAAATTTTCTTAGGAATTCATCTCCAGGAGAGTTTGCCTACATTCGAGTTACAATAATTGCGGTGAAGATTGAAAGAAACGCAAATTGACTTTTCAAGTGACCCTTACGCCGCCGTTGCAATCCTCGGATCTCAAGGACCTTAGTGTCAACTCTTTACTAGACACGCGGCTTGTACAACTTCAGACAATCAAATTTCAAGGACTTTTCAAGGATTTTTCGATGATAAATTACAATTTTCAAGGGCTTAGATTTACTCAATAAAAAGGGCATTCATTATGCCTCTTTTGAGTACCTTTAATAGACCTTTTTACCGATACGGCGGCCAAATTGAATTAGTTCGATTTAAGGAGTATTATAGGATGCCCAGGGGATGTAATAATGATCGCCTTTTTTCCGAGAAATGTACAGTGAAAGACCATATTTCTAATACTAAACTAGAAAAAGACGATCATTATTACATCCAAACACGGCACAAGGATCTTTTTTCCCATTTCAATCTTATTCTAAGAAAACTTTAGGAAAAATGTCCCGAAAAGCGCTCGAAAATACAAACGAAATGTGCTCATGCCCCCTGGGCATCCTATAATACTCCTTAAATCGAATTAATTGAATATGGCAAAGTTAAAATATTGTTCATGCACAAAAATGATTTAGGCTACCCATCTGACCGATGAGTTTTAACGGGTTTTTACGCCGAGGATGGGCCAAATTTTCCTCGGTGAAATAATCTAATTTAATTTACACAAAATGGTGTCTGGCTTAGACAAGGTAGTGAATTTGAAGGACTTTTCAAGACGACCACTAAAGTTCAAGACCTTTTCAAGGTTGCTTAGGCCATCCCCTTTTTTTTCGTTTAGCGTCGAATGCGTTTCCTGATGTTGGGTCAGTCGGTCGGATTGAAAAAAAAAAGCCTAAAAAAAAATCACGAGAAGTCTCGGAATATGAGGCTCTGGTACCCCAGGATGACGTTAAAAGTTAACAATCACATATTTCGATTAACAAAATGCACAATATACTATAAAAAATGTTCCTGTTTTTCCTTATGCTGTGGCTATGCTCATTTTTCAGATTAAAAGAATTATTTCAAGTGAAAAATGGTTTAACGACGTCGTTATATATAAATATATATATATACATATATATAGTTTTTTGAAAATGCCAAAAATTTGGGTCGGTCGGACGACGCTAAACGGAGAAAAAAAAGAGGATGGCCTTACGATGTTTAACTTACCTTACCTTTTACCGTGTGACGATCAGAATTACCCTTTTGAATTAAAAAAAATCGAGACTATTGTATTTGTGCGATTTTTATTTCGATTGAAAGATTGCTCAGACAGAGACATCAGATTCTGTGATAAAAAAAAAAAATGGGCGCACCCCAATGAGTTGTTTGAAGCTCGGCTTTTAAACTTGCATGACTGGGCACGCCCCAGATTCTGCTTACAAAACTTTTTTGAACAAATATATTGCTGCTTGTAATAAGTGCTTCCCTCAGAAAAAAGAAAAGGAAAGAAATGGCAAAGGAGCTTATTTTAACAAGCGTTGGTTGTCCTAGCCTGCAAAGCAAGAGTATTTTGCATCGCGATCCATGATTTTTTTCCTGAATTCAGGATGCTATCCCGCCATCTTTAGCCTGCGTTGCAGCCAGCCCACGCACTTGTTTAAACCATTTGTATAGTCCACAGACTCTCAATACAGAAGGTTTAGAGCGTCTGCGACTCAGGCAAGCCATCTTGGACGTTAAAACTACAAGGTGGGGTCCGCGATCAATGTACCTTAGAGTTTCCGTTAAAAACGCCTGTCCAAGGGCCTTCTCAAGTCCATAAAAAGGAAAAATAATTTATGTAAGCGCTATCTACGTAATCCCTCTTCTGACCGCTAAAAACCACTGAATACAAAAAATATAGAAACAAATTTAAAAGTTGTTCTTCACGTGCCGCTAAACATATACATTATGCGAAGAAATTAGAGAAATGTAAATCAAATATGAAATCGACTTCAGAACAGCGTTTAATGTTGATGACAGGGAAATTCGATCGAACTCAATTCGCGGACCATTTCTGTACTCGGGCCTAATTATATTTAGCGCACACAGTTCCACCTTCTCTCACTTCACACCGTTTTTTTCTTTCTGGAGCTTTTGTGAATTCAGGTGAACTCTTCAACCAGCTATTGAGTAAGAAATGTCTGAAATTTGCACTAGTTTTTGTGAAGGAACTACTTTAGGCTAAAACCAAATTACTACAACTGTGGTTTAATTGTTCAGCCAGACCCTGGGATAAGGGGGGAAGCGGTCTCACCAAAAAAATTTTTCGGCCCTTCGAGCCTCATTTTTGTCTGAAAATAAGGGGGGCTCCGGGCACCCCGTGCCCCACTCCCCCGGGGGGGGTACTTTAGGAATTTCTGGGTGGGGATGTGCCGCTGGGACCCTGGAACCCTTAACCTATACCAGAGCTAGGTCAGCTGAATTTTGCTACCCTATACTAGAGTAAACTCCCCAAATCCCCCTATCCTAGAGTAGCTGTTTCCCCAGTCTAGATTAAATCTTCAACCAAATGATCAGTTTCCTGAAAAATGATACCCTATTCTAGACCCAGACGCTCTGATTTATATACCCTATCCTAGAGTAAACTGCTTGAAGACCATACCCTTCACAGCGGCACATACCTATATAGCCCATATATGGCAGTACCCCCCCCCCCGGGCCCCACTCCTGGATCCGCCACTGAATTCAATTGTATGATAAACTTTCAGATACCATTGATCAAGGAAATGGTACTTTGGGTCTATTTATTGACTTATCCATAGCCAACATTACAACACTACAGCCGGTCCACCTATCGTCTAGACCATTACTTTTTTGTCCGTCTGCGAATTAGTGAACAAAAGCTCGTTCTGATATCCAGCAGAGTCACAAAGATATATGTGAGCGTTTCTAATAGGCGAGTTTCTTACAAGTTTCTTAAGCTCCTCACGATTGGTCCAATTCTTACTTGTGGGTGACGGTTGAGCGCAGGTTAGACATGTCAAAATTCACAGAAGGAAGTTGGCAAAGAGCGTTTACAGTAAACAATAAAAGAGCAGTTTGAACTTGAAAGCCTTCTTCCTGACTAAAAATGCTTCGAGGGAATTTCTTCAATCGGCCAGAATGTTTTGCTAAATTTGCCGATTGGGAGTTACACTTTGCGAACAGTTATCTTGGAAATCTTAAATACAGAACGTAGCAAGAAAGGTCTCACAATCAGTAGGCATTATTTACAAATCAAGTTTCTACCTTGGTAAGACCTACTTATGTACTCTCCATTTGGTTTAGTTTATCCTTATTTACATTACTGTGCGAGTGTATGGGGCAACTTATCAGTCAAATCTTAAACGTTTGATTACTCTTCAAAAACGGGTGTAAGAATCTTTTGCAAATACCAGTCCTATTTTTGTGAGCTTACGAATTCTTAAATTTGAAGATATTATCAAATTTCGCACAGGTAAAGTATGTATCTTTACAAAAACGGCCTTTTCCTGATAGTTTCAACGACATGTTTTTATTTAACTGTGACGCACATTCATGTAAGTAAGAACTCCTTCCGTTTGCCCTACTACAGGACAAATCTAAGGACATTTTTACTTTGTTTTCAAGGCCCCAAGATATTTAATTCCCTTAGCTCTGAAATTCAGAATGCCTCTAGTATTGCTGTGTTCACTTCTAAACATTTTGCTTGTTATAAGCATACTTTACTTCTCTGAATGCTTTTTTTTGGGCATTTTGCATTTTTTTCTCAACTTTTCTTTTTGCATTTGCGCGTTTAGCTTTATCTATTTTTTTCCAATTTAATGATTATTTTTAAGGGTTATAAAGAAATTGCATGTGTTTAGTTAAACTGTCTTGTGGATGGAGGTATTTTCTTTCACAATTTAATGGTCATATATTTTTATATGTGCTCCTTTTCATAAGCCTTACTGGATTCCATGGGCTTCCGGCCCTTGCCTCATCCATCTGAATTTTGCGTATGTATTTAATTTAAAGGTGGCAAAATAATAATAAAATATTGTTAAAAATGTGGGTGAGAACAAGACTTCCTTATTTAAAAAAATCGTAAAAGTGTTTGGCAAATAGCACAGTGGGACCTCGACATAAGGAAGTCCTCGGTAAAACGAACGATATTCTTCGCCCCAGTAATAGTAAAATATATGAAAAAGAACCTCTTAAACTTGAATAGAATAAATTTTGGACAGCGCTCAACTCTGAAAAAGAACTTCGATATAACGAAACCTCGTAATAGCAAACGTATTTTGTCAGTCCCTTGGCCCTTCGTTATATCAAGGTTATACTGTGCTCTATTTTGTAGCCCGATACTCGCCGCTGACTTAATTGATCGTAGTTCCCACGTTCGTAAATGACTTCCAATTCTTCCTGAAACAGAGAAGAATCTGTAGAGTGGACAGGGAGGAGTCTTGTCGTCACGAGTTCTCATATCGCTGAGACAGACTACTCAGTTCTTCTAGAAGTCCGTTAAAACTTTCCACTTCAATTCCACATTCTAAAAAGACATGATGTTTGCTAATGTTTGCTTTCTTTGCCCATTGCACTAATGATAACAACATGCTCCCAATACTGGAGTTTGTCTCCAAGCGGCTGAGCACATTTGTCTGATTAACTCGGGTGTTTTCGGGTCTTACATATCCTTCCACCGAAAATCCATAGCTGTTTACTTTAGGGGCAAAAATATTTGGGAATGGTGGTTTAACCATGCAAGCCTGGTTAACATTCCAACACAGAGGGGAGGTATTAGGATGAACATTTTCCAGGAATGTTCGGACGATTTCATTGGCCGATGCACATGCTTCAAGTGGGTTCTTACTTTGTAGAGAAGCCTGGGTACTTATATTTTTTTCAGGGTTATAAGCGTGAGTAACCGGAATTCCTCTGACCACCGCAGACTGGGAAATAAGAGAAGAACTGTTTGACACTCCTGGTGATATGCATTGTAAGAGCTCCCGTCCATAACTTTGTAGTCTTGATCCTAAAAAAGAAGCTAAAGAATTGTTCTCATCCACAGGTAGAGGAAAAGACGATGAAAGACCAGCAATCTTTCTTTCTCCATGTGCCACGCTGTCGATAAAGCTGCTCATGTTTGAGGCTTGCTGTGTGATGAGCCGATATGGCATGGTAATCGTGTCCACACATACTCCTAACACAGAACTTGTGTGGTACGATAGATATGGCTGCAAAGGAAAGCAGAATTGCTGCTTAAAGGGGTTATGTCTGGCTAAAACGTGTCTTTGCATCAACTGAGTTCCACAAATAATTGCCAGTTTTGTTACTTGAGTCTATATTTAGGTACTGAAAAAGAGGCCGCAATGTTTTCAAGTTTTACAGTACGACTACTATAACTAATAAAGTGAAGCAGAAATAGAACAGAATCTTTGGTAATTGTATGTCCGTTTGGTGTTCATATTAGCCAGGTTTCACTGTAACAGTTCAAGACACAGAAGAGCACTTACTCCTTACACTGTAAATAAAAAAAACAATTGCAAACTGTAAACTAAAAAACAATCAGATGGTATGATGCTGATTGTCATATTGCAAAATGGAGTACACAACTACCACTAAGTCGGCCACAACAGAGCCTTGACAAGATTATTCCAAACTCTTTGATAGTGCATCAAAATATGAATTTTTTGAGTCATTATCATAACTAATTGCTAGTATAAAGTGAAGTAAATAATTCTTTTTTTTTTCTGCAATTAAATAAAAATATAACAGTATACCTTGTAATTTAGCAGAGGAAACTCCCTCGGGGGTCCTGTGTGTGGAACTGCTTCACTAGCAAGAGACAAGGGTATAAATATGTCACTGTGTTGTGATAACTGTCCATAGGATAAGGCTGAGTTTAGAATTCTGTAGGCAGTTTCCTTAGTTGTTCCATCTGGCAATTGAGTTTCATTCATACCAAATGTAACAAATGACTTCCTTCCATATTCATCCTTGAGCTCTTCAAGCAGATAATTGCACAAGCCTCCAAACCCATTACACACATCAGCAAAGATCTAACAAGATAAAAGCAAAATAAGATGATTAACTGCCTCTCTTGTTTTAATCTTGAAACCATTCTAGAGTAGCCAGCTTTCCACAAATTGAAAGCCACTTAAGTGACTGCTAGCTGCAAAAACAACCATTTAAGAACAAATATGTACAAACTGATTTACTAACTGTATTTTGCTCCCTTTGCTCTGTTTGTTTCTGAGCATTTTGTTTGCATTTTTGATTAATCAGTTATGATTATCTACAGCATTTCAAAAACTAAAGAGATACATGATTGCACTCTTTCTTTTAAAACCAATGTCCCATTTCATGGGCCATGCAACTATGTTTTTTATAACCACCTGATCTTTTATAACACCCACTCACCTCTCCTTAATTAAGGCAGCCAGTGCAGAGAGGTTAGATTAGTACTAGCATCAGAAGGGGTGTCATTCTTTAATGAGGAAGCTTACAGAAAATGAATACTTTCTTACGAAAACAGAGGAGGTGATCCTATTATTGGGAGAAGTAATAAATAATATTTCATCCTGTCTAAATGGACAACTAACCAGTGAAAAGGAATAAATTATAAATAACCTTGCAGAGCTAACTTTATATTTTGAAAAGTGCATAAATGGTTCTACAAGCTAGCAAGTCTGCAAGCCAGCAAGATGAAGTCCAGTCTCTGTTCTTATACATTACCTATAATAAGCAGGTATGATGGACTTATCTTGCCTGCCTAGTTCCAACATGACAAAAAATTCTTTGCCATAAACTTAAACCCTTATGGTCTGTGGCCACACTTAGCGAGTTAACAGGGTTAGTTATTGAATAACCTGGTTAAAAAAGTTAAACCAGGTTAATTTCTACGAGGAGCGGAAATTAATTCAGACTTTCAGAAATTCCTTCTGATTCACGAGGCTTTGCTTTGTCACTTGCTTTTCTTCTAATGCTCGCTTCATGCACTCAGGTTAGAGTTAATGGCCAAATTTTGCCAAGTACTACTGATAAAAAGAGGTTGACTTGGGGCAACTCTAGCAGGAACTTGGATGCGAGGCGAAAGATTTAAGTGCTTGGGTGCATGGTAAAGCCTAAATTTGGAAAATTCTCAGTGTGGGCAAAGGTGATTGATTAACTGATAATGTTGACCAGGGTTAAACTACCCCACAAGGTGATCTAATTTGTTCTCAATTGATTTGTACATTAGTATAACCCAGTTAAAACTGGGTTAAGACTTCAGAATACCCAGCTGCACTCACGTTCTTTTAAACCGGTTCATTTCAATATTAGTTGATGGCAAATAACTCAGTAAAGTCCTTCTTGCGGCAGCAGCCATTGACCAAGCTTTCAAGGAAAAGATGGCTGCATGTTACCCAAGTTCTGCTGCCTGCTCTGAGGACTATTTTTTCACTAAAAAATATATATAAATATTACGAGACCTGAAATCCCTGAAGACTGTCACACTCCTCCACAAAGAAGTGAAGATTGGATTCAAACTCATCATAAAAGTACTCATCTTTTGCAACACCTTCTCCATATCCAAACACATCAAAAGGATTAGCTTGTCCTCCATGCAAAAAATCTCTTACCAACTGAATTGACTTAGGATGCAACGAAGTTCCTAAAAAATCTGACCACACGGAAATGTCTTGATCAAGGTCATAAAATTTCTCTCTTAAAGGCTTGTCATCATCTTCACTGACAAAACTGATTGACGGGCGATTAATCGTTTCATTGTCAACAGCATAAGCCTGATCACGAGTTCGATTATCAACGGCCATAGCCTCAAGTTCCTCGGCTTCTAGGTCCAGCTGAAACTCATTTTTAGGCTCGGGTTCTGACTCGTGTACAGACACCTCTCCCCACCACGGAGATTCGTTATGGTAGGATGACGTTTGATACAAAGTGCCATATTGTGGTAAACTTCTAAGGCTTCCTTTTAAATCAAAAATCATCAGTCGTGGAGTATAGGTTTGCTGACCTCGCGAGGTTAAACCTTCCCTAAACAAGACATCGTGGTTTATTTCTTGCTGATTTGAAGAGTTTGGATCGTAACAAAAGCTGCTTTCCTGGATGTTCAGCCAATGGGTCC